AGTCGGCGGCAGGAAGAGAGTCCGTCATAATGGCGTCGTGGTGGTCTGGGGCTAATCATCTGTCTGTTCCCTGGTGCAGGTGAAGTTCGACCTTGTGGTATCGGCTTTCTCTCTCAACGAACTCCCAAGCTATTCTCAGAGAGAGAAGACAATACAGACTCTCTGGAGAAAGACCGATGGTTTCCTGGTGAGTGATGCCTCCGACCTAGGTCGGTTCAGCCTCTTCCGTATGTCATCCCAGGTGGATTCCGTTTCCATCTGCCTTGTCTTGTCGGCTTGCCCGAGGTCAAAGTCGCAAGAGCTCCTTGGGCTTTGCCACCCTTTTTGCAGATGACTTTTTAAAAAAGTGGGGCGTGAGAACGGGGGTGAAGCATTCCTCCAGTTTATCAGTGGTGGCAGCTGCATTCCCCACTGTTGATCACTATTAGCCCTTTTCCTCGCTTTGCATAATGCCAGAGGGAGGACTTAAGCATTTCCCTCACTCTGATTTGGCTTCGCAACGATAACCAAGGTTTGGATTTTACAAACAAGTTCTGCGCGTCCTCGATAGCCTGCTGCAGAGCACGCCGCATCTCGCATTAGCATGTCCCTTTGCACAAGGGCTCTGGCCTTGCACAGGCGGAAGTGCTAGCAGTGTTCCCTCTAAATCCGAGTGAGTGTGAGTTAGCTCACCGTCTTTTAGCCTCCGGCTCGCACATTTTTGTCTCCGCTCAGGAAGGGAGGGCTCCCGAGCAAACTCATTTACGCAGGAGCCAAATCGCTCGCTCACCACTTCAATGCCAGCCGCTCACAAAGTAGGATTTTTGCCCCCCACCAAGACTCCACAGCTTAGAGGGAGCACTGAGTGCTAGTAGAGTAGGGGTGTCCCAGCACACATGGAACGTGTTCATACAATCCAAGCCCAGATCCGAATGGCTTTGTGGTGTGAGATTATGTCTGAAACCAAGTGAGGCCCCGGGCCATGCTTTCGTGTCCTCGCTTTGACATTGTGTCATGCAAAATAAAGGTGGAGACGCACATGTGTGCCAAGTTGCCACTTCTGGGACTCCATAGTAGAGTAGGGGTGTCCCAGCACACATGGAACGTGTTCATACAATCCAAGCCCAGATCCGAATGGCTTTGTGGTGTGAGATTATGTCTGAAACCAAGTGAGGCCCCGGGCAATGCTTCGTATCCTCGCTTTGACATCGTGTCATGCAGAATAAAGGTGGAGATGCACACGTGTGCCAAGTTGCCACTTCTGGGACTCCAAGTGACAGAAAATATCACTTCGCATGAAACTTTTCCATCCCATCCCCCCCTTCCCCTTCTCGGGCATTGAAGTTGTGAGCGAGCGATTCAGCTACCGCATAAATTAGTTTGCTCTGGAGCCATCCTCCCTGAGCGGAGACAAAAATGTATGAGCCGGAGGCTAAAAAAACTGTGAGCTAGCTCACACTAACTCAGCTTAGAGGGAACACTGGTCCTTGGTGACCTATGGGGTTACTGAGTTGGGGGGGATCCAGTGGGAGGGTGGGGTGAAGAGAGACCGTGTAACCCGGAGTCTGGTGTACTTTGGAAGTTCTACAAGCTTCTTTTTGGACCAGCTCTGCGCCAGCTAAAGTTCAACCGGATGGGTCCGCCCCTTGGGAGGTGCCTCCTCCCACCTGATCAGCATTCGTCTCCCTGCACTTGGGAAAGACAGAAGCCGTCTTGCGTTAGGGGTGCTGTGCAGGCACCCAACACTCCCTTCCTCCCGTCTTTTTTCTCTTTCAGGTTCTGGTAGAACATGGAACCAAGGAAGGCCATCAGATGCTCATGGAGGCTCGGGATGTCCTATTAAAGGTGAGGCGCTTTGGCCTGTTGGCACCCTGCTTCAGAACAGGCATCAGGGCATTCACAGAACCGCAGAGTCGGAAGGGGACAGAGAGGCCCTCTAGTCCCACCCCCTGCTCAGTGCAGGATCAGCCTAGAGCAGTGGTGGCGAACCTACGGCACGGGTGCCAGAGGCGGCACTCAGAGCCCTCTCTGCGGGCACGCGTGCCATCGCCCCAGCCAGGCCCAGACCATCATTAAAGTGTCCAATTCTCTGCCAAATAATTTTTTTCCCTCCAATTAATTTTTTATTTTAAAACAACAATACGTACATATTATTACCATATTCAACAAAAACATTTTCCTTCTTGCTTTAACAATAAAATAACAAGTTGGATAAGTTACATTGTTTTACTTTACAACAAATCCTATATTTGCCTTGTACCTATATACTATAGAGTGGGTACTGTGTAACTATTTTTAACTTCTTTTAGAATAGAAAATCCAACCTTACATCAACCTCCAATAACCCATGTAATATAACACTAAACAATATGCATAAGAGAAGAGACAACTTTCACAGCATTGAAGAAGATAGACAAAGACAAGAACAAGATTCTATGAAATTCAAAGCATTTGGGATTGTTTTCCTTACTTTGCTTGGATCATCTTAAGTTAATGCATGAGTTGTTTTTTCTAAAGTACAACCTCAGTATTCAGGTTAAATTGCCGTGTTGGCACTTTGCGATAAATAAGTGGATTTTGGGTCGCAGTTTGGGCACTCGGTTTCTAAAAGGTTCGCCATCACTGGCCTCGTGCATCCCTGACAAGTGTTTGTCCAGCCGCTGCTTGAAGACCTCCACCTCCCTAGGCAGCCCATTCCACTGTTGCACAACTCTGACTGTCAAAAAGTTTTTTCCCCCTAACATTCCCATCTGCCTTTTCTTCCTTGACCTGTGAGGAGGCTTTGAGCCGCTCACGTTCAGTACAGAGTGCACTGGAGGCAAGGGACAGGCTAAAGTGATGGGCAGGGTGGGATATTGCGCTACTGTTCCCCAAGTGGTGCCATTTATCCTCCAAGAGAAGTGTCAGGGGGCCACGGAGACGGGGCGCCCTCCGACTCCATCCCCATCCCCGTGGGACGTAGGGCCCACCACCACCTCGGCGGGAAAAGACCAGGAGCAGTACGAACCCCAGCATCGAATCTGCAGCGGGCGAGCCAGGAACAGTGGGACGAAGAAGCAGGAAGGAGGAACGGCGGGGACCGGGGCCGACTGGAAGAACAGTGGCAACAGGGAGATCTGTGCGCACCTGGGCACCCAGCCACTCGAGGCGCACCTGCGGTGCAGGGAGGGTGGCATAGAGGCCCCAGGTGTGGCTTGCGGGGTAGCCCCGGTAGACAAGGAGCGGGGTGGTCCTGGTACGAGGAGGGCGGGAGGATTATGGGGCCATTGGCCAATCTCTTGTAGCCCGAAGGAGGGACAGAAACGAATAAAGAGGCCGTCGGAAGGAGAGTCCGGGGAGGAGACGGTTGGGACTGCAGGTGGAGACGGGGTAAAGCTGGAAAGGCCGATCAGAGAGAGAGAGAGACAGGGTGAGCAACCAGAGGCGTCAAGGTCGTTGGCTTCCGGCCCAACACTCGCCGTAACCTCGGTCCCAACGAGGGTTTTGCCGATGTGAAGCAACATGCGCAACCCGAGAATCTGAGGACTTGGCTCTGGGGCCATTCATTCGGTTCCGAATCCTGGGTTCGGACTACCCCCCTAATGCGGCAGCTGACAAGAAGTTACGCCCTAAGGTTTCTGCTACTTACTGTAATCCCTCACAATTATTTCTTAATGCAGGTTCTTAAAAATACTTCTTAATCTGCCTCGCTGGTTAAGGGAGGGGAAGGGTTTTCCCAACACACACTAGATTTCGTTGGCTGTTTGTTTTTTTCTTTTAGTTCCCACTTTTCTCCTCAGTGGGGCCCAAAGTGGCTCACAACATTCTTCTCTCCTCCCTTTTGTCCTGACAGCAGCCCTGACAGCAGGTGAGGCTGAGAACATGTGACAGGCCAAGGTCACCCAGCAAGTTTCTGTGGCAAAGCAGAGATTCAAACCTGGGTCTTGTAGTCCGGCACTCAAAATAACTACACCACACTGGTTTTCATTATTTGGCAGATAGATTTGTGGTGCAGTATGTGGGGGTTTTTTTGTTGTTGGGGGGGATCTGTCTTTTCCACAGAACCATTAATTTGCCTGGAAAGAAGGAGGGGGGGGCGGCTAAGGGGGGGGGGAGCTCCCGGCACTGGGGTTTTACCTGCTTCACTTTCACAAGCACAAGAAGCTGCCTAATACTGAATCAGACCCTTGGTCCATCAAGGTCAGTATTGTCTTCTCAGCCTGGCAGCGGCTCTCCAGGGTCTCAGGATGAGGTCTTTCACACATCACCTCCTGCCTGGCCCTTTTCCACTGGAGAGGCTGGAGATTGAACTGTGGACCTTCTGCATGCAGAGCAGAGGCTCTGCCACTGAGTCACAACCCCCTCCCCTTGTTTGCCCTGACCCAAACCATTTGTTGTAACATTTATTTATTTATTTATTTATTTATTTATTGTTTGTATTTATCCCCCGCCTTGCCTGACAAGCAGGCTCAAGGCGGCTAACAAGATTAAATAACATAACAAAAAAATTAAGACTATCAATACGTACGATATCACTTAAAACAAGTGAACGGCAACAGTTACAGAACCAACTATGGCGGTCATCCAATCAAATCCTGAGCTAAGGGTAGTAACCAGCGGGGACTCTAGCCAGGGGACGGTCTAAGTTCGGCCAGAAGATGTTCCAGGGCACACCCCTCAGTGGCGGCCCCTAATCGAACGCCTGGTGGAAGAGCTCCGTTATACAGGCCCTGCGGAACGGTGAGAAGTCCCACGGGGCCCTGATGTTCTCTGGGAGCTCTTTCCACCAGTGTGGGGCCGCCACCGAGAAAGCCCTGGTTCTGGTAGTATTTAGCCTGGCTTCTTTCGGGCCAGGGAGGGTTAACCGGTGTTGCTGCCCTGACCTCAGTGCTCTCTGGGGCTCGTATGGGGGGAGGCGGTCCCAAGGGTTCCTCTGCCAGAAAGACTTGACATATAGAGTATTGGAGGGGGGGAGGAAAGTGGGGAGTGACATATTCATTGGTGTGGTGTTGTGGCTACGTCATTGGACTAGGATGGGGCAGACCCTGTTGCAAATCCCTGCTCATTGGTGAAGCACCCTAAGTCAGAGATGTCAGATTCACTCGTTACGAGGGCCGGATCTGACATAAATGGCCCTTTGTCCGGCCAGGCCATGTGTGCCATAAAAAGTAATGCCAGGTGCTGGAGAGAGAGACTTCCTAAAGGACGTAGGCAAACCCAATTAACGATATTGGGTTTTTTACTCAAAATACACACATGCTTAAAAATATTAACACTCATCACGGTGTTTCCTTAAAGTCTCTCCCTGATGCCCACCCTCCCGCTTCCACCTCCCGTTACTCATTAGCACTGGGACAGGATACAGGGACACAATGCACAGCCTCTTGTCACCGGTAAATAAAGGCAATGACCAGTTGCTCCTGGGCCGGATAAGAGCCCTGAACGGGCCAGTTCCGGCTCACGAGGCGCATATTTGACCCCCCCCCCCCTGCACTAAGTGAACTTCAGGGCAATAGTTCCCTCAGCCTAACCCACCTCACAGGGCAGTTGGGAGGATAGATGGAGAGACGATCAGGGCTATTTTTAGGCAGAACGCACAGGAACGGAGTTCCGGCTGGCTCCCGAGTTGGCCATGCCCAGCAGGAACTCATTAGCATAACAGGCCACACCCAACAGCAGAAACACATTAGGATTGGCTACATTAGGGGTGTGTGGCCTAACATGCAAAGGAGTTCCTGCTACAAAAAAAGCCCTGGGTTTTGACCACAAACAAGGTAAACAGAATAACAAGCAAAAGGTGGGTGTGGCTGGACGACAACACTTCTGGCAACATGGGGGTGCGGCCTAATGTGCTAATGAGTTGTGTTGTCGGGTGTGGCCCAATATGCTAATGAGTTCCTGGTGTTGGGTGTGGCCTATTATGCTAATAAGTTCCTGCTGGGCTTTTTCTTCAAAAAGAGCCCTGGAGATGATGATAAGGTTGAAGAGAAAGAAGACCCACCTGAGGTCTTTGGAGGAAGCGATAGGGAGGGCTGTCCTTAATCACGCTTTTCTTTCCATTGCTTCTCTTTACCAGGGCACAGATAAAGTCGTTCATGACCCCCGAGAACCTCACGTTTTTGCCCCAGTAAGTGTTAAAGCTACCTGGGGGGAAGGGGAGGTGGTACGGAGGCCTCCAAAGCTGAGAGGCTCTCTGGAAAGAGGGAGGGTCACTGTTCAAAGACGTGTGTCAACTTGGGGTGATGGGGATGGAGGTGACGTAAAGCCTGCTGCTTTGTGAGCCCCAGTGGCCAGGGACCCACGAGATCCACCATGATTAAACACTGACCCCCCACCCTTCTCTTTTATGGTCAGTGTCCGCACCATTTGCCCTGCCCCCGCCTATCACCTGACCGACCTCTGCCGTGTAACTTCATCCAAGCCTATCACCCCCTGCCTTTCAGTTGGGTAAGTGCCTTCCTCAAGCCTTTAATGATTGTTCCTTGATCTTGCTGCGGACTGTTAGAATTGCATTAAGAGAGCTTGTGTACAGCAGCTTGGAGCATAAGACTCTCCTAGTGGCCTGAAGCAAGCAAATTCTCTCTTTGCCTTCTCTGTACCTGTAACTGCCACATCTTTAAAAAAGGTAAAGGTTCCCTTGCTCGAAAGCCAGTCGAGTCCAACTCTAGGGTTGCGGTGCTCATCTCCGTTTCAAAGCCGAAGAGCCAGCGCTGTCCGAAGACGTTTCCGTGGTCATGTGGCCGGCATGACTAAACACCAAGCTGCACGGAATGCTGTTACCTTCCCACCGAAGTGGTACCTATTTATCTACTTGCAATTTCTTGCTTTCGAACTGCTAGGTTGGCAGGAGCTGGAACTAGAGATGGGAGCTCACTCCATCATGCGGCACCCGGGTCTCGAACCGCTGAACTACTGACCTTCCACAGCCTGCAGTTCAGCGTCTTAACCACTTGAGTCACCGCAGCTCCTTACATCTTACAGGGCTATATATATATATATAAAAAATGAAATCACCATGACCAGAAGCTAGATAAAACAATTTACTGATATTTATCGGATTATTATTCATTGATTTAGCATTCACATTATATCGTACAATCTAATGTATTTTAACCTTTTGTTCACCTAGCACGTTTATATGTTGCTGGCACAAACCCTTATGCAAGCTGCAATTGCTAACATGTAGATGTAATATTTCAAAGACACTTAACACAAGTTGCTGGCATATACATGCGATATTTCAAAGTCCGTTGGTATACTACCAGTGAAGACTCTTTTGTGTTCTTTCCAGACTATGTTTTAATTTATGTATGGATTTTAATTCTATATATTGATCCTAAATGTCAGGTTAGATTTACTATGCCAGTAAAGGTATCATACACTGTACATTAATAGTATATTCATAGTCTTTGAAATATTGCACACATATGCCAGCACCTTGCATAAGTGTCCTTGAAATATCACATGCAAATGTTAGCAATTACAACTTGCATAAGGGTTTGCACCAGCAATATATAAGCGTACTGCATGAACAAAAGGTTAAAATACATTAGATAGTACTATATAAGATGAATACTAAATCATTGAATAATCTGATATATATCAGGAAATTGTTTTATCTAGCTTCTGGCCACAGTGATTTCATTTTTTTATATATATAGTTTGCAAGACATCATGGTACCATCTTGTATTTCCATACCTTGCAGGGCTGCAGATAAGCATTGCCCAAGTAGTAGACTTCCAGTGCTTGGATCGCTTCAGTAACCAGCAGCCGAGCACATGTCGTCTTTGCCGGAGATCCTGGATTCTCCCATTTAGTGATCCCTGCAGGAGGCGTCGCTTCCCTCTCTCTGCTTGACATCCCAGAGAGAAATAGAGCTATATTCAAGCCCACTAAGTAGCACCTTAGAAGCCAACAAGATTTTCGGGGCATAAGCTTTTGAAAGTCAGTGCCTCTTCCTCCATACCTGGCGAAGGGAGCTCTGATTCTCAAAAGTGTTGTTGAAATATTACACGTGAATGTAATATGCTGTTCTGGATATTACTTGGGCACTGGAATTTCTTCGGGTAATTATTCCTGCCCGATATGAAGCATGGGTTTTGGTTTTCTCCACTGTTGCTATTTATCGTTTTTATTGTTTGTTGGTTTTTATGTTTTGAGCCGCCCTGAGTCCATTCCTGGGGTAGGGTGGGGTATAAAATAATAATAATAGGAGGAGGAGGAGACGACCTGGGAAATCTTGTGTGTCTCTAAGGTGCTAGTGGACTTGAGTCTGCCTCTTCTGCATGATCACCCTCTGAGAGTTATCTTCATCCAGAGAAATAGGCACCGAATGGACTGGTGATCAGGGTTCCCTCTAAGCTGAGTTAGTGTGAGCTAGCTCAGTTTTTTTAATCCCGGCTCACACATTTTTGTCTTCGCTCAGGAAGGATGGGACTCCAGAGCAAACTAATTTATGCAGCAGCCAAATCGCTCACTCACAACTTTAGTGCCAGTAGCTCACAAAGTAGAATTTTTGCTCACAAGACTCCACAGCTTAGAGGGAGCATTGCTGATGATCTGACTTGATACATTAGCTTCCTATATTGGGAGGTTGGTTGGATAGAAATATGGGGGGATATCTTTGAACCTAAAAGGGAACCCCAAGATTACCCACCAGGTAGCCAGTTTCTGTATGGTGATACTCAGATTACGGAAATTCTGTGGTAGTTCGGTAGTTATGGCAGTTAGATATTAGATTAAATTTTAATCTGCTTTTAATGTTTTACCGATGTATTTTAAAATCTGGGAGTATTGTAAATGTTTGATCTTCTTTTTGCATGACCGGCCTAAGGACTGGAGAAATGAACTGAACTGAATCTAATAGGGTGCTGATGTTCAGACTTTGCTTCTTGGGGAGGGGGCAGCAGGAAACGAGCAGGGGGCGGTTCACTTCTGGTAGGTTTTCGCCTCCAATCCGAGCCCAGTTTGGGGGCAATCAGTTGTAAGGAAATACGAGAGAGCGGGTGTGTGTGTGTGTGCGATTTCCTTGTGTGCTGTCCACATCTTTGATATTGGCTATGTTCCCGGCTGTGGGTGAAAACCGTGACCCCGGGGGCCTTCTCGTTCCCTCAGCTCGCTCTGTGGACACCGCCGTTTTACCCAGGATAGGTTTGGTGCTTTGTAAACGACCGTTCTCAGTCTCACCGCAGGACACGGTGTTTGCTGAAGGCCTCCAATCGGTGTCCTTTGCCCTGGATTCTTCAGGAACAGAAAGAAACGAAGACCTGCCCTCGGCGGGGGAGGGTGGAGTATAATTTAAATAAATAAATAACTGTGCCACTGTTATCCTGGAGGAGCACAGAGGTGGGGATATGCCAGTGTTCTGAATTGCAGTTCACGTTCCGGTGCATCCGTGTGGGCTTGGTTTAAATACAGGGCCAATGATGAGGGTTATGGGGCCAGGTGAGCACATCCTTTAGCTGAGATCAGGAAGTGGATCAGGGTGGAATAAAGCAGTATTGCTAAGGTCCTTCCCTCCCCACCCCCCTTCCCCTTTATATTCTCCCAGAACCCACAGCTGAAGGAGGAGATATTCTCTTTCTTGATCCTGCGGAGAGGGGCAGGAGAAGCCAATGAGCCGTGGCCTCGGATTACCCAGCCCGTCCTCTGCCGATCCCGCCACGTCCACGTCCACCTGTGCTGCCCGGATGGCACCCTCCAGCACGCGTGCATCACCCCTCGCAAACACAGCAGGTACTGGTTTCCTTACCCTCTTTGGGCCGCCGCGCCGGCGTTCGGCTTTCAAGGGCGTGAAGCGTGACAGCCGCGTTCACGATTGCAGGATGGGGAATCTTCACCTGTGCCTTCTTCCTCGCAGGGACCTTTACCGATGCGCAAGGACCAGTCATTGCGGAGACCGCCTGCCGGTTCTGAACCTTGATTGCGAACCAGCTTTGGAAGAGCAGGCGGACCTTGGGAACAAAGAGGAGAGCTGATGGAGCTCTGTGCAGCCTGCCTCCTTCAAGAACGGGGCTCAGCTTCTTGGGCGACATCTGTGTCGTGTTAGCACAAGCCAGCCGGCACGCCAGCTTCAGCTAGCTGGACGGACCGTGTGGAGCCCGTCGGTCCGATTGAAAAATGCCTGGTTTGGCCTCGCGATGGGATCTAGAGCGCTGGAGTTCATTAGGCCCCAGGCCACGCTGCCTGGTTGACAAACCTCTTGCCATGCGATCTGTTCCTTCCAGATGCCCTCTCTGTGTGTATGTATTTCTCTCCCCTTGGCATGGTGTGGCTCTGGATTATCCGTTCACACAGCCCCACCTCCCATCTCCGGACAGTGCTACAGTCCCTGAAATGCAGAAGGGACTTGGACTAGAAGGTCTGTGTGATACGTCTGTTGCTGGCCCGTAACGTTTCAGGTGAGGGACTGAATGCCTGAATCCTCATCCCTTATGTCTACGCAGTATTTCTTTGTTCTGCCTTTCCTCCCCGGAGATGAGGGCACAGTGTTCACGGTTTGCTCTTCCCCATTGCTTTGTTGTTAAAGTACTACCAATACATTGAGTTCCTGTTGTGTCGAACCAGAGGCTAGCCTGTATCTTTTCCCCTGGTTGGTTTTGTAAGCGTTTTATGTGGGCAAGCGTCCACGCAGTCCTCCACTTGCAGTGTGGAGCAGTGCCAAGTCAGCAGTGGATGCACCGTGCCGTTCTTCGATTTCTCATAGTTCAAGGTCCGGTCTTTGCCTTAAGGGGCTGAGAATACCTCCCACTGTAGCTGAAACTCACACAAGCTTATTAGTGGAGACTGGAATGAGGAAGGCTGAGAGGTGATCACTTTTGAACCTTGGGCTCCGGGTCATTTAATGCAGACGACAACTTTGTATTTGATGGCCAAGCTGGCTAAAGAATGGCTAAAAGGGATTGTAATGGGAGGCCTTTAGTTCTAAATGGGGTCAGGAGGGATGAGTTTGGGACTAGAAGGGAGGAGGAAGTCTGGACTGAACTGGGGCAGTGAGCTGAGAAGGAAGTTGGGGGAGCCGGGATTCCTGGGTTGTGTAACTTAACTCCCGGGTAAGTATCAGCACGGTCAAGTTCATGGTAGGACTCTGGGCCATCGAGGGGAAGATAATTCAGTTTGTGGGACCCCAGGTACTCATAAAGGAATCCAGAAAGAGTCACACAGGGTAACCTAAGGACGGAAAAAAACCCACGCCTTGCGTTGCTAGTGTTTTGTGGACCGCCTGCTCTGGCAGTGCGCCTCCACCCCCTGGATTGCTTCAGGAGCCGGCCTGAAGCAAAGCAGGAGAGAGAGAGAGAGAGAGGGAGCGCTGCCCAGGCTGAAGCAGCCGCTCCCTAAGGATTCTCTGCCACCCACTGGCCCCATTCCCAACCGCCACTCACTGAAACTGGGTCATGCGACTCGGAGAAGCCCGGCTGAGAAGCTGCTTCCGGCAGCATTGTGGGTGGGGGAGCCCGAGGGATTTGTGTTCTGCTCTGAGCAGGGTCTAGGTTTCGTTTGATGTTGAGAGGGCACGTGGTAAGTCTCGTTTCCGGGACTGAACTCTCAGCCGTGCGCGTGAGGCCCAGCGGGTCTTGTTGCAGACCGAACCATCTTACGAAGTGGTAGCGTCGTAGAAGCAAAGCAGTTGTGGGCCTGGCTAGGGTCTGCATGAGAGACCACCGGAAGGCCTCACGGCGTCTTTGCTGCACACTAGAAGAAGAGCTGCCTAGAAGTATTAATCGTAGTTAGTACTACTAATTGGTGATTTAGATGAATGGCTGAAGCCCTGACCTGGATAGCCCAGGTAAGCCCGATCTCGTCAGATCTCAGAAGCTAAGCAGGGCCGACCCTGGCAGGTCCTTGGATGGGAGACCTCCAGAGAATACCGGGGCTGGGAGGCAGAGGCAGGCCACTTCTCTGAATGTCCTCCCTGCCCCAGTAGGAGTTGCCAGAGGTCACCATGACGTCCAGGCACGGGCGCACACACACAAAATACGAAAAGGGGGTGGAAAAAGATGAGTGATTGAAGTGAGTGATTAAAACATGAGATTCACTGCTGGAGGAGGTAATCTTCCAAAGGGGATTAGCCAGATTCACGGAGGACAGGTCTATTAATGGCTACTTGCCGTGGTGACTGAAGGGGAACCTCCATGTTCAGAAGCAGCCAACCTCTGAATCCCAGAGCCAGGAGGCAGCATCAGGGGAAGGCCTCAACCTCCATGCCCTGTCGTTGGCCCTCCATAGTTACTGGTTGGCCACCGTGTGAGGTGGGATGCCGGACTAGATGGACCCCTGGTCTGATCCAGCAGGGCTCTTCTTATGTTCTTATGTTTCTGTTTTGTTTCTCCTGGGATCACCCGTGCTCTGTAAAAGACTGGAGAGCAGCAGTCAGGGCTTGTTTGCTTGCTCTATAAAATGAAAAG